ACAGATATTACATACTTTAAATGGATTATAAGGGACTATTACAAAAAAACTTTACCCTAACAGATTTGATAACCTGGATGAAATATGTAAATTCCTTGAAAGGTACAAACTATCAAAGTCCATTCAAGGAAACCTAGATAACCTTAATAGCACTATTTCTATTATAGATACTCAATTCATAGTGAGTTTTCCCATAAAGAAAACTCCTGGCCCAGATAGCATCATTGGAGAATTCCACCTAATGTTTATGAAAGAAATAATGGTACCTCTACACAAACTCTTCCAGAAAACAGAATATATCCCAATACATTTTGAAAGGCCACCATTATCTTGAAATAAAGACCATTGACATTACAGGAAAAGAAAATCACTGATAAATAGCCCTCATAAACCAGACATTAAAAAAAAAAATCTTTGCCTATTAAATAGCCATTTATATCATCACATCAAAATAGGGCTTATCACAGGAATACAAAACTTTTAACATTTAAAAATCAATGCAGGGGCTGGGAACTTCAATCCCCAGAACCACAACCATTTTTTTTTTTTAAAAAATGTAATTCACCACATTAACTGACAAAACTATAATCATCTCAGTTGATTTTTTAAAAATTCAATACCAATTTATGTTTAATAGCTCTCAGAAAAATAAGATCAGAAAGTAGCTTCCTCAACCTGAAAAGGAGTATCTAAGGAGCATATGAGTGCTTTTCTCCTGATACCAGAAAGCAAGGAGATTTGCTTTTACCATTTCTGTTCAGCATTGTTGTGGAGACTTAGCTATGCAGTAAGGCAAGAAAATAAATAAACAAAAGGCATATAGGCTAGAAAGGAGGTGAAATTCATAGCCAATTTGATCATCTACACAGAAAACACTAAGGAACTTAAGTGGCTGTGTATATTTTTTAAAGCTATCGGAACTAAGTGCATTAGCAAGGTCACAGGATAAAAGGTCAGAATACAAAAATCAATCGTATTTCTACTGCTCTAGTAGCAATTAAAATTTTAAAAATATCATTTATGATATTACTACTTAAAGACAAATTATAAAGCATATGCAAGACCTATACATTGGAAAAAAAGACCTATATACTGAAAACTTCAAACATTGCTGAGGGAAATTTTTAAATATTTAAATAAGTAGAGAGATATAACAAGTTCATGGAATGAAGATTCAATATAGTTACAATATCAATTCTTACAAATTTATCTAAAGATTTAATGCAATATCAATCAAAATACCATCAAACTTTGTCATAAAACAACTACCTTTGACTATAAATTCATATGAAAATGTGAAAATCTTAGAATAGCCAAAATAATTTTGGAAGATAATTAAAGAACCTGTAATGACCCGATTTCAAGAATTAGTATAAAGACACAGTAACAGAGGCATTGTGATAAGACAGAGATCAATGGAACAGAATAAACTCCAAAATAGACATATATACACATGGTCAACTGATTTTCAATCAATGTGCCAAAGTAACTAAATGTATCAAAAGAAACTGGAGTAACTGCTACTGATATGTAAAATATAAAACTAGGTCCTGATACTTCATACCATTTATAAAAAATTAACTCAAAAGAGATCACAAGCCTAAGTATAAAGCTAAAACCATACAATTTCTAGAAGAAAAAATAGAAGCTAGAAAAATCTTGGATTGGGCAAAGATTTCTTAAACAGAATACACCAAAAAAAAATATAAATTATTAAAAAAAAAAAAACTAGATTCATCAGAATTAAAAACTTCTCTTTTTTTAGATTTTTCTTTGTTTTCATTTTAGCATGGACCTTATGTGCTGGACTGAATTGAGAAGTTCTGAAGAATAACTTACAGGGAAAAACAAAGGGAGAAAAAAATCTATATACATTAAAAACAAATACATTTATAAAAAGTATTTCCTTGGACCCAACTGTCCAGCTTCTCCATATCAGCAAAACCAAGTATCAACCTGTATACCTATTTTCTATTTCAAGTATTAAAACCAGTTATTTCTTTCTTTTTGCCAAAAACCTGAAAGTTTTTGTTTCGTTTTGCTTTTATGACAAATGCTAAACACTTCTGATATCTTATTTCATATATATTTGTAGATACACAATACCTTTATTTATTTTTATGTGGTGCTAAGGATCAAACCCAGTGCCTCACCCTTGTGAGGCAAACACTCCACCACTGAGCTACAGCCCCAGCCCTTGATATCTTATTTAAGTATTTTAAATTTCTATAAATTAATGTCTTTAAATGTCATTATTCCAAATATAATTGATCTTTGGAAATTCTGTTTACTGTCCCCAGAAACTATTTTTTTAAATTTGTTCTTTTAAGACATATATGACAGAAGAGTGTATTTTGAGATACTATAAATATATGGAGGATGTGGGTACCACATTCTAATTAGGATCCCATTCTTATGGTTGTACATAATGTGAAGTTTCACTGGCCATATATTCATATATGAACATAGGAAAATTATGTCATTCTACTGTCTTTCCTATTCCTATCCCTTCTCCCTTCCCTTCATTCCTTTTTATCTAATCTACTGAACTTTTATTCTTTCCTCCTACCTGATATTGTGTTAGCATCCACATATCAGTGAGAACATTTGGCCTTTAGTGTGTGTGTATGTGTGTGTGTGTGTGTGTGTGTATTTTTTAGTTGTCAATAAAACTTTTATTCTGTATATGTGGTACTGAGGATTGAACCCAGAGCCTCACACATGCCAGGCAAGCACTCTATCACTGAACCACTACTCTAGCCTCTTGGCCTTTGGTTTTGGGGGGCTGCCTTATTTTACTTAGCATGATAGTCTCTAGTTTCATTTACCTGCAAATGCAATAATTTCATTCTTCTTTATGGCTGAGTAATATTCCACGTGTATATATAATACGTTTTCTTTATCCAATCATCTGTTGAAGGGCACTAGGGTGGTTCCAATGCTTAGCTATTGTGAACTAAGCTGCTATAAATATTGATGTGGCTGCATCATGTAGTATGCTGATTTTAAGACTTTTGAGTATATTCAGAGGAGTAGAAAATTGGGTCAAATGGTGGTTCCATTCCAAGTTTTCTGAGGAATCTCCACACTGCTTTCCAGAGGGGCTACACCAATTTGCAGTCCTACCACCAATGTAAGAGTGTGCCTTTTCCCCCACATCCTCACCAACATTTATTATTACTTGTATTCTTGAAAATTGCCATTCTGACTGAGATGGAATATCAGTGTAGTTTTAATTTGCATTTCTCTAATTGCTATGCTATACAGGTCGCAGCATTATACCAAGATTGTGGTATGATTACACAACTATATACACTTGTCAAAACTCATCCAAACTGTATATTTAAAATTAAATTATTATATTATATCTCAATAATAGAATTGAATTTTTTCATACATTTGTTGACCATTTGTATTTCTTCTTCTGTGAAGTGCCTATTCAATTCCTTTGTCTATTTACTGGTTGGATTATTTTTGGGGGGTGTTAAGAAAGACTTCTCCTCTTTTAAAAATGTTAAGAAAATAAAAAGGCAAGCCATGGATTAGGAGAAAATATTTGCAAAATATGTAACTGATAAAGGATTTTATTCAGGGACATACACAGAATTTTTGCAACTCAGTAAGAACATAATGTCAATAAGAACATAATTTTAAAAATGGCCAACAACTGGAATGAACACCTCATCAAAGACATACAAATGGCAAATAAGCACATGAAAAAATGTTCATCATCATTAGTCAATGGAGAGATGCAAATTAAATTCACAATTGAGATACCACTATATACTCACTAGAGTGGCTAAAATTAAAAAGACTGATAATACCACAAGTTAGCAAAGATGTGGAGTAAATGAATTTTCATACATTGCTGGTGAAAAGGGAAAATGTTAGAACCACTTTGGAAAGCAAGTTGACAGCTCTAATGAAGTTAAACATACACTTACCACAAACCTTAGAAATGTTACTCCTAAGTATATATTTCAAAGAAATACCAATTTATGGCCAAACAAAATCTTGCATATAAAATTTTGTAGCAACTTACTTATAATAGTTGAAAGCTAAAAACAACCCAAGTTTTCCTCAATTGGAGAAGGGATGAACAAATTATGGTATGTTCACATAACAGAATAATATTAAGCAATAAAAAATAAAGAATTACAGATACATTCAACAACACATATGAATCTAAAAATCATTGGTTAAATCAGAGAAGCCAGAAGCCAAAAAGCATAAACAGTAAGATCCATTTATATTATACAAGCAAAACAACAGGAACAGAAAGTAGTTCAGTTTTTGCCAGAGGTAGAAGGGAACTTTCTACGGTGATGGAAATGTCCTATTCTGGGGAGAGCAGATGAGCTCAGTTATTGGATGATCCTGTGGTATAGGCAAAAGCCAAGCCTGGGAAACATTCCTTGCCAAAAGGCAAGGATGCAAACAGCCTTGATACCTGGCTTTAATGCTAGTGATAGTTATTAGACATTCCAGTACAATGGGTTTTCTGGGTACCACAAAAATGTAGATAGCCACAAAAATGTTTCTAGCTCTGTAACTTTTTAGTACACAAAGAAGCCTCCTGATAACTCACAAGCCTTGAACAATTTACAATACCACTATAGTTAAACTCCCTGATTATTAGACCCTATATGATAAACTTGCGGAGCTAGTTCTGGGTTACTATTCTTCCATCAGAGGGCACCATCCCACTTGGCCCCAGCTTTGCTTAAAAGTATCTCTCTTTTTCTTTGTCTCCATGTTTTTCTTAATCTCCTGTCACCCCTACTACAGATCCTTTGTTTATGCTGTACAGGTCACAGCACTATACCAAAACTTTGTGGTATGATTACACAACTATATACACTTGTCAAAACTCATCCAACTGTATATTTTAAATTAAATTATTATATTATACCTCAATAATAGAATTGAATTTTTTGAAAAATTGTAAGCTCTCTTTTCTGGGTTGACAACTAATGAAGAAATGAAAAGAGACTCCTTACCTTCCCAGTCCTCCATGTAAGGGGCTTCCTCAGCTTCTTTCTCTGGGGTGGGTCTGTCAATAAACTTTCCTTCTTTCATGACCCTGGTAATTTCTCGGAGCTGATGCAGCAATCGTTTCTCTTGGTCAGAAGTCACAGACTGTACTCTGCTTAGAAAATATCAGACAATCCAGCCATTTAGCAGTAAATACTCTGAGGTAATGGGCAGAAACATCACTATGATCTGTCTGGATCCTAGAACTGCATGACCAAGAACTAATGTTAGCTCAACATTTTTATCTTAAAAATGGGAAATCTAAGGCCAAGAATAGATCAGGGAAGAAAAGGGATTACCCAAGTCCCACAATGAGTTAATGTCAATACTGGGGATAAAACCCCAAATGTCTTAGCCTTTAGTCCAGTGATCTTTCAGTATAACTCACTGCCTCGATTCCCTAATCCTAGTAAATGGCAGCATTATAACCAAGACTAATGTGATTTCTAATAGTATTCTCTGTGTGTGTTGCTCAGGATCAAACTCAGAACCTTATATAAGCTAAGCAAGTGCTCTACCATTAAGCCACACTCCAGCCCTTCTGTGCAATTTCTGAAACATAATGCTCAAGCTCCACAGTTCAAAAAACCTGGTTTGAGTCTCAACTTGATTGTGTGGCTCTAAACAAATATTTGCAAAAATAATATGAAGCTCAAGAATAACTGTATGATCAGTTCTTTAAGAAAGCACTGTATCACATGTAAAGACAGTTGAGACCAATTTTATCAAGTGGCAGGATTTCAGATTTCAATTTTTTATTTTCTCCTTTAAATTTGAACATTCCAAATTAACATATGTGCAATTAACATAATAATGTCTGTGCGAGCCTCATGAAGGTGCCCTCTGTTCTTCTCACTAGTTTGTTCTGGGCCTACATTCATGTTTTATGATCAGCTTAACAAATTTTAGCCTTAATGACTAATAGGGAAAAGGAAAAAAGTATTTCTCCTTCTAAAGGATATGAAAAATGACAACCCCCAGGACAGGGAAATGACAACCAAACCCCCCAAAACTGTCTGACCCAGAGGAAGATGGAGGAGGAAGGTAATCATTAATCCTCTCCCAGTAAATCCTTTCCCAATAACAATGGGCCCCAGGGAAAGAAAGAAAACTTTCATCCCTTCCTGGGCTTCCCCAGCATCTCTACCAAAAGCAAACATTCATCCTTTCCCAGCCACAATGGGTCCTGAAGGAGGAGGTGGATACTGAAATGCTGGGCCCTGAACTTTTACCCTTTCCCATTGCTGATGAGTCCTGGAAGAAGAAAAGCAAATAGTGATGCTCTGGGTAACAATGGGTCCTAGAGGAAGAATATAAGCAGTGAACACTGAGTTCTAAGCTTTTCCCAGTGACAATGAGTTTTATACTTTCTACAACTTTTTTCCTGACTGCCCACACTGACACACTTTGCCTCCGTTGCCAATCATTAATTCACCCTCATTGTAAACTATAAAACTGAGACTTCTTCATTAGTTGACAGCTTATTAATTAAGATAGTAACTGAGGAAAATGAAGGCATGACATTTCTACCAGTCTCAGTGGGAAGAAAACAAAAACACCATGATGAGCTCCAGTCCTTCCACACAAAATGGCTTCAAAATCTTGAACTGAAGAATCTATCCATTCTACTTTCAGCTAGAATCTTATAGGACCTTTTACAATTCTATTCATTAGTACAGAAGTCCTAACTCACCAGGACTGAACCTGGGCCTCACAAGCCCCCTAACTCTTACTACTGAAATAACCCACTCAGTAGAAGTAGTCAAAGGTAGACCAGAAGAGCCTACCTCACAGAGTTCTGGCTTGCAGGCTTCACAGGCTACTTCTCTAGACTATATGCAGGAGCATTCTGATGTTTACTGAATGAAATAATCTTGATTCTCTGCTTCCTAACTCATGGAAAGTTAGAAATCCTTAAACAAAAAAGAATGGCTAGGCTCAGAGAAACAGGAACAGACAAAAATTCCAAATAAAGCCATCCTCTTTTAACTTGGAACAAGCATACTCACATTAAATGTTTAGTCAGTTAACTATGGTCCATATTATAATGTCTTCTGAATTTCCTACAATGAATGTTTTCATGGATTCCTTATTTCTCAACTTGAATTGATTGTCTTAGAGGGCAGTGATAATATGTTCACAACAAAACAGGCACAGTGTCATGATCATTTTAAGTGCTTAATAAGTATCTATTAATAGTTGGACTGGTTCCCCAAATCCTTACTATCTGTTTTCTTCCACCTCCCTGAAATCTGGCTTCCATCTCATTATTTTCACAAAAACTTTAAAAATCATCAGTCACCACTTCTAAGCCCCAGGGTTTCTTTCTCCCAGTTCATTCTTTTTGGCTTTTCTATACTGTAAACCATCCTTCCCATGAAACTCCCCACCTTCCTTGGCCATTGAAATATCTGCATTCCTCTCACTTCTTTTAACTATTGCCTTTAACTTTAATCCTGGCTCACCTGTAATCCTTCTTTCACCTAAAAATGGTTTTCTCTAAGGCTCAATCTGAGGACTCTCACTTATCCATTATAATCCTTGGCCTCAAGAAGCTGAACCAATATCAAGGAATAAATCATTACCTCTACGCAGAAGATGACCTAACTCAGGCTGGGAATGTAGCTTGGTGATAAAGTGCTTGCCTAAAATGGGTGAAGCCCTGGGTTCAATCCCCAGCAACACACACACACACACACACACACACACACACAGTCCTAATCTTACTTTTTATATACAAAGATCCATCTTGGAACTATCTCCTGGGCATTTCCACTTGGTGGCCTTGTCACTACATTACACCTTAAATTAATCTTAATTTCACTATTCAAAACCAGGACCCAGATGGCCCAGGATCACAAGCAACAGAATGAACAGCAGCCTGGAAAGGTTGAGTATGGCATATTTTGAGATGCTAGTAAAATGAAAGGTAACAGGTGGGAGATAATATCACAGACTTTTAGCCAAAATAGTCATTAAGTTCTGAACCCAAGAGTTAAATAGAGAGAAAATGAAATAGACTCTAACAACACCATTCATAGAATAATTTAGAATAAAAATCAAACCAGAAAGAGACTGCAGTCTACTACAGTAGAGTATGAGAGGCCTCAAGGATTTGGTGATCTCCTCTTTCCCCATAGTCTCTATCTCTTACACCCAACAAATGACTTCCAAACCTAAATCCTTTGTTCTGACCTCACAACCCAAATTTACTACTGCTATTATATATAATATCTGGATATTCTGATGGCATCTCAACCACATTCAAAGTTGAACTTGTGCTCCCTATCTCGAAGTCTTATCTTCTTTCTCCTATGTTTTATCTTGGTTAATGCCATAATCTCCTTCCAGTAAAAGCTGAAAATCTTTAATTCATTTTCTTGTCTTTCTCCTCCTTTTCTTCTCTTACCTAGTTAGTAAGTTTCCTTTGCAGACCAACTTTTCTTCCACTCATGGTGCAAAGGTTAAGTAAAACCATTCATCCCCTTACCTCTCCTTTGAGGGTGGCCAAGTGGCTATTCATCAGATTCCATCCTCTCTTGGCTGCAGTGATTTTGATTGATTGATAGATCCAGGATCAAGCTGGACCAACTGTACTTTCTCCCAAAACTGGATCTTGAACACAGTGAAGCCTGAATTAAATACTTTTGGTGTAAATATATCTTGGTAGCTAGTCTCTGACTGGTCTATTCATTACCTTTGAAGAGACTGTCTCTTTGTTCCTGCCCAAGAGCTGCTCTGGTTACCACCCTTCCTAAAACCTGGATATTTAGCTGTTCCTTTTTCCCCCCTTCCGTTTTAATACATTTTAGCTGTTCCTTTGATATTGTAAACTATTTCATATTCTTCCAATATAATCTGCCCTCTCTCCTACAAATTTTTGCTAGCCAGAGTTGGTTGCTTGCAACAAGAAATCCTGATAAAACCTGTGATTTTGTTCTTCCATGAAATCCCCTTCATTTTCTACTCTGGTCTATTTATTACCTTTTGCTAGAAATGTTTAAATAACCTTCTAACATGTAACCACTCTACATTTCATTGTAAGATCAATTTTTTCTAAACACAGAATTTCATGACATTTCTCTTCCAAAGTCTTCAGAGGTACCCCTCTATAAAGAATTAATTCTAAACTTCTCAGCATACTATTCAGGACCTTAGTATATGGTTTCAGTTTACTTTTCTCATTCTCTCAATACCTACTTACCTCCTTACCCATTTACCCCATCCCTAGTATATGCTACCCCTATTCCTTAGAACTATTTGCTATTCCAAAAACTTGCCTTGATTCTTCTACCTTTTCTTCTTGTGCTGCCTTCTCCCTCTGAAACATTATTTTCCTAAACTCTGCCTACAGCAATCCTTCCATATTGTAAGGCTTATTCAAATTCCTCTTTTCAAATTCTCTTCTATAAAACCTTTGGTGGAAAGCAGAATAAGACCCATCTCAACTCTCCAAAGATATCCAGGTCCTAAACTCTGTAATCTATGAATATGATACCTTACATGTAAGAGAAATTAAAGTTGTAGATGAAATTAAGTTTGCTAATCAGCTGATTTTATAATAGGGAGATTAACCTGGATTATCTGAGAAGGCACAATGTAATCACAGGAGTCCTTAAAAGTGGAAGAAGGAGGCAGAAGAGGTCAGAATGATATAATGTGAAAAGATTTGAACCTACTGTTGATATCTTTGAAGATGGAGGAATGGGGCCAGGAGCCAAGGGGTATGGGCAGCTTCCAGAAGCCAAAAAGAGTAAGCAAATTCTGTTCCAAGCCCTTGAAAAGGGAATGCAATCCTACCAACATCTTGACTTTCACTCAGTATAAGACTTCTAACCTACAGAACCATTAAGATTATAAATATGTGTTGTTTTAAGCCATTAGGTTTGTGGTAATTTGTTACAGAAGCTAATTCAGGCTCCCATAGCACCTCTTTTCCATACAGGTCTTTATAGAGAAAATAATACTTGCCACTGATAACCATACAGGACTGCACAAAGCAAATGAAAAGAGGTTCCAAAGAAGATATTTTTACTGCCAAAGCCTCCTGCTTTAAGTACTTTCTCTAGATCTACCTTATTCATTTTTTTAAAGATATGTGAACATTGTCAGTTTACAAGGAATATAAACTTGGACAATGAAAATTTTCTGCCCTTAAGAAGTTTACTGAGCATTAGAGAAGTCAGAAGTTAAAAGAAAATCAGAAAGTAACATGATGCATATAATACCCAGCAAGACTAGGTTGTGTGGAACCACATGGGAGGAATAACTAGCCAAGTTTCATGGGTTCAGGGAAGGACTCTCAGAGAAAATAATGTCTATGTTGAGATCTATTAGACAAGCAAGAGTCATAATAAGTGTGCGGCGGTGATGGGGTGATGGCAAAGGAAAAAGTACATGCAAAGTCTTTGAATCAAAGGTGCCCAGGTATTTTAGAGAATCAAGTGGTCAGGCTGGCTGGAACATAGAGAAAGATAAAGCAATAGAGGTATGGAGGACTATGTAGGTCGTGATAAAGATTCTGCACTGTTCAAGATCAAAAGGCATTTCTGAAGGTTTAAAAAATTTATATAATACATCTTTTTGGAAAGCAGAAAGTGACCTGAATGGAGACAAAACTGGAGAAAAAGAAATCACATGAGATAGTTCTGATTTATGTCAAAACCAAAGCCATCCATTCTTTCTTCCATTTCAACTATACTTTTTTAGAGCTTATTATGGGTCTGTGCTAGGCTGTAGAAACTAAGAATGATAATCCTTACCCTCAAAAAATTTACAGTCTTTTGCACACTGAATGCATTACTAATTAGGAGGAAATGGCAACACCTGGTGATTAATAAGATATAGGAAGTAAAGGAAAAGGTGGATCAAGCATGATGCTTAATTTCCACTTTGGGCAACAAAGTAGATGGTAGACCCATCTGCTGAAATGGAAATATTAAAGGCAGAGTAGGCTTAGCTTAGGGTGGAAAATAAATTCCACTTTAGGACATTTATCTATTCAAGAAATTTTTATTATTTGATGAGGCTAACAATAGGTACCTATAAGATATGTCTGTCCAGTAGAGCTAAGAATAAAGAGTTCATAAAGGAAAGAAAAGAAATCTCAACGGGAAATGGCTATGCTTTATTCTTCTATCATGAAAATAATGTACAAAAGCTTATGTCAAAAAAAGTGGATATCTATTCTTATTTGACAAGTACATATTTAGTACCTACTATCTGAACACACTGAACAAAACAGAATAAGTTTATCCTCAGAGTTTATGTTCTAGCAATCCATGCCAGAAATCTACCAGCAATTCTCAACACATATTCAACATGTCTACAACAGCTCTTCGTTATCAGAGGTTGGTCCCTCATAGTTTTCCTTGTGACATGCCATGTTTCTAGCACGTAAATAGTTACAATTGGGCATATGAGTCTTGGAAGGAAATTTTCCTAGATCCTTTCCTTATTCTGTATTCCTGAGCTAAATGTTATTCTTAATATGAGCCTAACATAGCATAATACTGACTTCCAGGAGGTTTCATTAAAATTTGTGTACAGACTTACACCACTCACAGGTGAAAGCTGTCTGAAAAGTTTTATTAGACAATATTAAAAACCTTTCCCATATTCCTATTCTTACATAAACATATATAAGATAAAGTTTTAGGCATATTTCTCTAATTCAAGCCAGCATCTCAGAGCTATAAATGAACCACATAAAAGGACTTAGGAGGCTATAAATGAACATATCTTTTTTCTCTTAAATCTTCTCCTTTATCCCCAGAAGTCTGGAGCTGTGATAAAATCCTGATCTGATAGAAAAAAATACTGGAGTATTTTGGGCTCTTCTAATCATTACAGAAGCATAGATTTACAAAAGAACAAATGCCACAGAAATGAAGGTTAAAAGATATAAACTATAAGAAGGAAAGCAATGTAGAAACATGGGCTTCCTAGTCTTCAGTTTTGAGTATGGGAAGTCCTAAAGGGCTTACTGGTAAAGATAAAATGTATTGGCCTAAGGAGGGTCATAGAGAAAGTCACATCATATGGACTAGAAAATGAGAGTTTGGGGAAGGGTGAGAAGTCATGCTCTCTTTCATGGAAGAAGAGCTGCCCCAAAGTTCTTGACAAGTACTGCGGAAATTTTTTTACATATTCTTTCCATTGGAAGCTGGAATCAACGTTTTCAAGGAGTCAACACCTCAGCATCTTGTAAGAAATAAAACACTCTACGTTGGGACCTGTGGTCCCAGAAACAATGAGATGGTAAAACTCTGGCTGCTGTGCAGGAAGAACTCCCTTAGCTCTACACATAAAATATGGAGAATTAATCCTGGCACAAGAGGACAGATAGTAGTTAGAGACTACAGTACACATTCCCGGATTGGGCTATAGACAGATGGTATGCATGGGTTGGATGGTAGATTATTTCATTTGGACTAAGGGAATGTGAGTACCAGTGAGTAATAGGAGAAAATACCTTCATGTAGTTTTTTACTCCAAAGCCCAAAGGGCTGGGTCTCACAAATCAGGGCTCTACCCATAGATATTCACCTATGGTTTTCATGACCCTATGTGTGGCATGGGATTTTCAATGGCCCAGGTAAAATTTTTTTCTTTTTTAGGGCATGAGGGTCTATTAAAGCCTGGGTAACTGTGAGTGGAAGCAATCGGGTAAGGACAGAAAGGCCAGAGAAATATAACTGACGTGTAATTAGTTTTGTTATGCATATAAACAATCATACATTGGATAATTTATATAAAACAATTACCTCACAGCATGGTCTTTAGTAAGTACTTAAAGTCAACTATTATTTATATACTCACACAGATATATTGTATATATACTACTTTAGAGAATATTCTAGATAGTAACAAATACTGCTTTCTGGACCACAAGAAGGTCAAGGCTCCTGGGCCTACATTGAGGCAAGGTTCATTCTCAAAAACATAATTTTGGCAGCACTATAGATATTATAGGGAAATGCCAAGGCAGAAGTCTGCAACCTAAGAATGGCCACTCATCTATCCAGCCAAAGATGGGGCCAGTGAGCTGAAAAAGGGACATGGGGCACTAGTATCATCAAGAATGACAAGTGGGGGGCTGGGGATATAGCTTAGGTGTAAGGTGTTTTCAATCCCCAATGTATCTATATTCTCCCTGCCCCCAACACACATAGAATGGAAAAGAGAAGGGTAAGGTAGAACACCAGCAATTTCCTGGGGCAAAGACTCCATAAATGTGCCCCTGAAGCTGCAGAAGGGACCTTTGATACATCCTCCTGCATGAGATTTTGCACTCACCCCAAAGTTCTTCCAACATTGTTGTTAGAAGGCCTAGATGAAACAGAATCCCTCTTTGTCCTTAATCTCACATTCCAGTTTTTCTGCCCTGGGTCTTCCAACATCCATATATTCTTAGTTATTGCCACTTCTGTCAACCTCTTGCAGCCACCTTTTCAGATCCTTAGCCAACAAGGTAACAAGAGGAGTGTGCCTTCTCTGTGGGGCATCCTAAAGAGCTAGTATGGTTCTTGACACCTATTTTACATGTCTAATTCTCTATGGGCAGTCAGTCAACACAAAACACAAATAAATGCCTAATGTGATGATAGTTGCTCTCTTCTGTCATCTGGTCTCAAACAGAAAAAACAATATTCGACAATCTGGTTTTAATTGAAATTACACTTTTTTTTTAAGATAGCCAGGAAACTGTCTTTCTTAAAGACAGATTAGTTTATCCTTTAGGATTTACTCACATTTTTCCTTACTCTGACAATAATTTGTGACACACTAAACTCATAAAAACAAGTTGCTCGATAGTATGAAAATGGAAATGTTCAGCAAGATTATGTAAATAACAAATAATTTGACAATTAAACAAAATGAAAATAAGTGGTCCATATATCAAAGAAATGAAAAAAAATTTTAATTGATTCTCTAAATGGGAAATGAGTCCTATTAGATGAAAACCTACCTCTCCCCATTAGGTCCCACTCTGTTGATTAATTTTTCCATGGCTTCCTCTGTCTCCTTCAGTTTTTCTTGAAGTTGAACAAGCTCAAAATTAGCTGCAAAACAAGCATCAATCTAAGAACCAGCAACTGTATACTCCCTAAACCCTTTCATGAAAAACCTAACCATGACACTATGGTAATCCAGGCAGGTTCTGAGACTCAAAGAGACCAGGAGTCTCTCCAGTTAATCTAATCAGTACAAAAAGAGTACAGAGGTCTGTATACCAAGATCTATAGGATAGATGTTTAGTGAGTGGTGAATAAAATCACTCTCTAATAGTGATATAGCAGGAAAAACTAAAGAAAATACCCAGGAGTGAAAACATACCCCTACATAGCCACACAAGAAGAAACAGAGACAATAACTATACATTTGTGATCTAAATGATGTTTAAGGGTAAAGTACAAAAGCTATAATGTACTTTTGAAAAGGAGTTAAGACATAAAATAAGTACTATTTTATCTGTAAGTAAGGTCTGAAATATATCTGTAAGAAAACAGTTTAAACATTAGACTTCATCAAAAAAGAAGAACTCCTCAACCAGTGCTAAAACCTCTGCCCAAAGTTTTCTACCTTGGTTATCTGGATAAAGAGCATGCTATGCTATGTAACTCTGATTCCCAGATGCAATTTTTCTCAACCAGGGTCAGTTGGGAATACGTATATCTATTGAAGAGAAAAAATAAATCACTTAATCAATATGTGAAATAAACTTTAATGCAGTAGGAAAATAAAATGCTAAATGAAATGCTATTCATTATGTAGGTAATCTACTTTTTCTATTTCATACTTGAGTACTCTCTTACCCAAATATGTTGAGAAGGTCATTATAAATATAATATTTCAAAGGCCTTTTAATGCTTTTAGAACAAACTCTCATGCATACAGTTAACATTTATAAAGTGTCTACAGGGCATAGTGCTTATTAGGTTATTTTTTTCCTGCATGATTCAAAATTAAAGGATAAGAAGCTATATTAAACTATTACCATTATTACAAAAGAGCTGCTCTTATAAATTCATTTGATCTACTTCTGTCTCAAATGCATTATGTGACAAGATATATAACTTGCTACTCTGTAAAGAGCAAATTTTTTAAAAAATTACTGATACATTTATCATCACTATCTCTCTTAAAAAACATATAGCTGCTTTCTTCAAAGACTCCTTGACTAAGTTTCCAAAAAGGATGAAGAATATGACTGAGATATCTAATTTCACAGAGAATCCCGGAGAATCCAAAGCCTTTATGGACTAAGCAAGATGCCTCTGTGGCTCAGCCTCATTTCATTTTGCTGATAGCTTTCTTTAAAAATGTCTGATGAGGCTTCATTATTCAAAGGAGAAAGTAGCAGTCTGGTCTTAATCTACTCAAGATTTCTTTCCCACAGCTGTAGTACATCAACACCCTCTAAACCTCCATAAGCTCAAGAAATTGTATTTGCCAATATCTTACTCAAGCCATCTGATTGCTCCTTCACAGCCACCCAAACTGATTTCCCATCGTGCTTATGGTAAGTCCCTTCTTTCTAAACTTTTCACAGGTTATTTTTCCTGATATCCTTTCTAGTCTATAAATTCTTAGAGGAAAAAGTTATGCTATATATATATATATTTCATCTCCCTAGAGAGCACAGAATACTCTAGTTTGGCAATAAATATTTGATGATTATGTTTCAAGAGCCTCAAATCTTCACTCTTTCCTTAGAGCTAATAACTGATTTGGACAATGATGTGATTTCTCTGCCTCAGTTATCCTCTCTGTGAAATAAAGGTATCTGCTACCAATATTTTGAGGTATGGAAATGAGAAGTAACTCATTCCAAATGTGAAATACTAATTTCCCAATACAATAAAACAGTAAACTGTCAGTTTTGTACTTTCTGTAGCATCCTTCCCTTAAAAGCCCAAAAATCAATAAGGAAACTTTTGAGAATTCCCAGAGCTAAGATAAAAACAACATCAGATGAATTTGGAACAACGTTTGAGAAATGCTGTTAAGACATACCATAGATTGTCCCTCTGACTATATTACTGCTATCTGACTCAATAACACCTGTGAATTTATTGAGAAGAGACACTTACTAATTTTCCTGTGGGTGTTTCCAGGTGTGACACTAGAGCATTTCCGATCCTCTGCAGTTTTCCCCTTTGAGAGCTGAGAATTGAAGGAGGTACAGCACATCAACAGCAGCTCAGAACCTCAAAGTCATGGAACCCTCATATTAAATGGAAAAAAAAAAAAAAAGGTTGGGAGACAAAAATTAAGTCAGAAATCAAATGAAGTAGCAGTATTAGAGAAACATCTTTTTTTAAAAGCCACTGAGAGATTTGAGAAGGTACCCAAGTAAATATTATTAAGGTACAGGGGAAAAAAAATCTTCCAACAGGTCATTTGCTTTGCCCATGCTTATCTTAAAGGGGATGCTAAACCCCAGGGGCATACTTGCAGAATCAACTCTGATAGTGTGCAGCATTCCTGGGCAAGAAGAAACTCAAATCACCTAATCTTACTCTAGTTAGGAGTACAAAGTGAAGCTTCTGTCTCTACTTGATAGTGCATAGGACTGTGGCCTACAAAAGCCTGCCCGGAGGTGGAATTTAATTGGAAATCTCTTTTTAAAAGACCACACCATGTCTCCCCAGAACTAGGAAATATCAAGCTCAGTTTCAAGATAAGATAGTTCTGTCCTAGGAGAATTACTAGAGAGGATATTAAAAATAACAATGGCATATTAGTGTGGGGAGAAGGAAAACAAAGTCATATTAGTACAATCATTATTTGGTCTCACAGTGGCCACCTGGAAATCACTGTGCCAACCCTAAGAATAAAGCTGTTAAAGACTTCAGCTTGTAAAGATACTCAGTCCTTTTTTTTTTTTTTTTTTAATTTGGCTTTGAACCACATTGCTCATTGGACTAGAAACTGGAAGATCCAGGCCCAAGTCTTGGTTTTGCCTTTTTAGTTGTAAACTGTGGGGCACTCGAGTTCTGAGCCAAGATTTCTCATCAGTAAAGCTGAAATAATGGCTATCCTAAGTATCTCAAAGAGGAGGCAAGGTTTAAAGAGATGATGGACTTGAAAGAGTTTGATAAACTTTAAATAAAGAGTTTTAAATGTAGATGATTTTTATTAGACTAATATTAGATTTTCTCTCATAAAATATGATATAATTAAGATGATTCCACTTACCTTAAATAGAATGTACAGTATATATAAAAAAATCCCAAAGCCATAGATTGGAATAATCTGCCCCATCAGGCCTCTTCCACTACTTCCTCCAGTACCTCCACTTGATCCTTTGGCTTTTGCAAATGCCTCTGCAAGGTGAGACCTCTGGAAACGAGCCCCAGGGGTTGGGCCATCTGAGGGTGCCGGGTGATGATGCATTACAGGTGGAAATCGGCCCAATTTTCCTGAGAAAACAAATTAATTGATCTTTATCTCTTCTACTATTTTAAATACATTTATTATTAAAATACCTCATGCAATGATGTACAAATAACAGAAGCTAACACAATTTTAAGAAAAAAAAAAGTTAAGCCCAGGGGCAAATGCCTATAATCCCAGTGACTCAGGAGGCTGAGGCAGGAGGTTCAGGAGTTCAAAGTCAGCCTCAGCAATGGTGAGGCACTAAGCAACTCAGTGAGACCCTTTCTCTAAATAAAATATAAAAAAGGGCTGGGGATGTGGCTCAGTGGTTGAGTACCCCTGAGTTCAATCCTTGGTATCAAAAAAAAAAAGGAAAAAAGGAACTTGATTAAAGGATATCAATATGGTATGGTAATTGCTGGCTGCTCACCAAACCCATTTTCTCTTCCTTCTGGGTCCAAAGCTAAACTATATTTTTCAGCCTTCCCTAGAGTTAAACAAACCATGTGAATATAAATGATTGTGCTAGTTCAATACTTGGCCTATTAAATCTCCCATGTATTCAACTTTAGGGTCATAAATAGAATAAAGAAAAATGAAGATAAGGAGAAGATTTTACAACATTTAAAACTGAAGGGATTACTCCTCTATAGGATGTAAGTAGAGTCTATAATTCAACATAAACATTATAGGACACCCAACAGAAAATGGACAAAAGTTACAAATAGGGAACTTACAGAAAGAGAAAACTAAATGGCTAACAATATATAAAATGATGATTAAATTCAGAGTAAAGCAAATGAGTACAATGCAAATTAAAATAATGGTACAGCACTTTATACCCACCAGAAGGGCAAAAATTAGGATGGTAGATATAGCAAAGTTAGCAAAGATGTGGGGAGGCAAGAACTCAATGCACTGTGGGTAAGAATATAAACCGATACAGCCACTTTGCTAAGTGATCTATTTATACTTAGTGACATTAAGCATGTATAGGCGCTATGATCCCGTGATCCCTCTCTGGGGAATAAATCCCTAAGAAATTCTCAAATAAGGTTATATATATGCAAATTACATACTATAGACCTGTGTGAGAGTGTTCACCGTGATAATGCAGCAGGAGCTTGAAGTAACATTGATTTCCATACTGGGAGCATGGAAAATCAACATGGAGTGGATATAAATAAATAATTCTATGTAGCTTTTAGAAATCACACTTTAGATGTGCCTATAAATATGAACACATCTTTAAAAATTGCTAAATATACTGATTTGGTAAAAATAACAAATACCATATGTAAGACTGAACACACACACATAATTATATATCCTGCAAGCAAATTATGTAGGCCAAAACATAAAACATATAGGAGTGGATACATCTGAGCTGGGAAAGGAATGAATATGTGGCTTGAGGATAAAGGGTTAAAAGCATAAGAAAATAACTTTATACTGACAAAGTTAATGAAGTGCTAAGAACTAAGGACTATCTTCAAGCCAATTCTCTGCTCTTGTGGTAAGAAGGAGGGAAGAAGGGAGGAAGAAAGGCAGGGAGGCAAGACAGCTAACTCTTGATCTTGGAAGCTGCTTTCTGCCTATGTCCTTCTCACCCAAGCTCCACTCTAATAATCCTTCTTTCCTTCCCAATATTGACTTTGGATGACATGAAAATTATGGAAAGAAATGTTTTCATTTAAGAATGAGTCAGCAACAGGAGCACAGCTTTGGACAAAGAATGAAACCATGAAGTCACCATCTCCTATTCTGAGTGTTGGTAACTATGTCTCTTTTAAATTGTGGAAGATCTTATTATTATCACATAGTGAGAACACTTTAAGGTTATTACTCCTTTAAAAAAAATGCATAGCAAGCATACAGGAAGCTAACCTCTCTCTAGAGAATCTGATATATTGAAAAGCTAGTGTTCAATAAACCAAATTTAATATTTATAGTAATATGTTGTCAAATTTCATTTTACTGTATTGAGAACACTGTCTTTAAAACCTGGCATAAAATTAAAAAAATAAGAAGTTAAAACCAGATAATGACATAAAAGGCATAACTTTGCATTTTTAAAACTGAAGAAAAATGATGCTAAATATTACACATCTTTTCATAAACTTTTCTAGATCTCTCAGCCATGAATATTTATTTAATATTTATTATGTTCAATATTCTGCCACAGGCCTGGCATGGTGGCACACACCTATAATCCCAGTGGCTTAGGAGGATGGCAACTTCAAAGCAAGCCTCAGCAACAGCAAGGCACTAACAACCCAATGAGACCCTGTCTCTAAATAAAATACAAAACAGGGCTAGGGGTGTGGCTCAGTGGTCAAGTGCCCCTGAGTTCAATCCCCTGTACCCCCCAACACTTCCCAAAAAAGATTCTGCCACAGGTAGAAAGAGATCTATAAAAAATATAGAAATAATAGTTCTCAAATGGAATAATGATATAAAGCCGCATGTCCAAAAAAAGATCAGCATCAAGAGCAGGGTATCATGGACTTTATTATATCTAGACAAACTAAATGTTTAAATGTTAAAAGGATGCAAAAATGTAATTTTAAAAAGAGTCAAAATAAGTCAGTCATTGAAGGGAATGAGAGATTAAGACCAGCAGAGAAATTAAGGCACACCAGGAGAAAAAAGAGTACATAATAAGGAGACTGAGAACAAAGAAACCAATAAGTAGGGTTAAATACCAAATTAATTTGGCTCCATTTAGGGAAGTAACAAAAGGAGAGGAAAGTAAGGATTGAAAGAGTGCAAAGAAATTTAAATGCTAACTTATGTGGAGTATAACTCTACTACCACAGAACATTGTTCAGGAAATTGATATAATCTGAAAGGTACTTGAGGGGGATTAACCTAGGGTCTGGAAAAACAGCAAAAAGTCTCTTACAAAGGACACACCAAGGAAATAAAACTACAGACCAATATCTTTGAAGAACTTAATAAATGCAAAATATTAACAAATCATGTTCAAAAACATTAAGAAGACTATACAACATGACCAAGTTGGTTTTATTCCAGAGATGCAAGATCAATAAATGTAATTTATCACACAAATACAAAATTAAGGACAAAAATCACTTAGTCATCTCAATAGATTCAGAGAAGGTCTTTGAAAAAATTCAACACCCACTTATTGTTTTATCATAACACTAAAGAAACTAGGGATAGAAGGAATCTACTTCAACATCATAAAGACTAAATATGAAAAACCCAAAGCCAATCTCATAGTAAATGGGAAAAAACAAAAGCATTTCCTTTAAAATCTGGGACAAGACAAGGATGTCTACTCTCATCATTCCCATTTAAGAAAGTGCTAGAAATTCTAATCACAGCAATTAAGCAAGAGAAGGAATAAAAGGGATAAAAATAGGAAAAGAAGTCTAATTATCACTATTTGCAGATGATATGTCTTATACTTAGAAGATTCAAAAAAATTCACCAAAAGACTGCTAGAACAAATTTTTTAAAAATTTGGCAAAGTAGCAGATTATAAAATCAACTTACAAAAAGCAATAGCTTTCTAATATACCAAGAATGAATCTACTGAGGAAAAAAAAAAACAGAAAAACAATTCCATTCACAATAACCTCAAAAAAAAAAAAAATAACTACTAATAAATCTAACCAATAAAGTAAAAGAGTTCTACAATGAAAACTACAGAATAAAATTGAAGAAAGAAACTGAAGACTCAGAAGATGGAAAGACCTTCCATGTTCATGGATAGACAGAATTCATATTGTTAAAATGGCCATACAAGCAAACCAATATAAAGATTCAATGCAATCCCCATGAAAATAGCAAAGACATTCTTCACAGAACTATGAAAAAGTCCTAAAATTCATTTGGAAATAAAAGACCCAGAATATCCAAAGCAACTCAAAGCCTTTTTTAAGCAATGCTAGATGGAAGCATCATAATACCTGACTTCAAATTAGACTACAGAGCTATAATAACAAAAACTGTATGGTACTGGCATAGAAACAGACACATAGAACAAAAGTACAGAATAGAAGACACAGAAACAAACCCACACATCTACAGTCCTTGACAGATCCCTGACAAAAGTGCTAAAAACATACATCGGAGAAAAGATAGCCTTTTTAACAAAAGGTGCTGGGAAAACTGGTTATCCATATGTAGAAGAATGAAACTAGATCCTTATCTCTTACCTTACACAAAAATCAACTCAACTCAAAATGGATCAAAGACCTGGGAATTAGACCAGAAACTATGCAACTCCTAGAAGACAATTCAGGTCAGAATTCCAGCTTTTAGGAACAGGCAATATAAAGCTCAGGAAATAATGCCAAGAGTGAATAAATAGGATAGCACCAAATTTAAAAGTTTCTGCACAGCAAAGGAAACAATTAGGAATGTGAAGACAGAACCTATAGACTGAAAGAAAAATCTTTGCTAGTTATTATTATGACAGAGGGTTAATACCTAGAATATATAAAGAACTCAAAAACACTTTACACCAAAAAAAATCAAACAACCCAATTATTAAATGGGCAAATGAATTAAACAGACTTCTCAAATGAAGAAACAAATATGTGAAAAACTGTTCAAAATAACTAGAAATGCAAGTCAAACTACACAGAGATTTCATCTCAATCTAGTCAAAATGACAGTTATCAAGAATAAAAACAATAATAAATGCTGGAGAGGATGTAGAGGAAAAAAATCACATTTTACACTGTTGGTGGGAGTATAAATTAGTACAACCACTATGGAAATCAGTGTGGAGGTTTCTCAAAAGACTAGGCAAGGAAGCACCATAAGACCTAGCTATA